GCCGCACTTGAAGCAGCTCTGGACATTGCTTGGTCCACCCTCGTTGACCTTCTTGGCCTTATGGTCAGCCTGCTGCCCCTGCTGGAAGGGCCTCTTGTGGTTCCCGCCCTTCCAAGGCGTCCCCTGCTGCCTTCCGCTAGGACCCGCAGTGCTAGACGACGGCCTTGAAGTCTGCTGCGGCTGGGTAGTGGTTTTGGCATAAGCACGGAAATGCTTATCAGTGGTCCCCACCACGCGCTTCACGTGATCATAGGACCGCCATGCCTCCCCAGCCCCATCCGTCATATGCATGTTCTTGAGGTGCTCAGGCAACCCCCTGAAGAACAGGTGGATCTTTTCGCCTTCGCTCATACGTTCCGCCGGTTTCTGGAGCACCCAGATCTCCTCGAACTCCACGGCGTACTGCTGCACTGTGCGGTTCCCGCACTGCAGCTTCTCAAGGCGACTGCGCACCTCCAGCTGGGTCGGCTGGACCTGAAAAGCTTGCTTGAGCGCAGAGGCAAATTCCTCCCACCCAAACGGCTTCCTATCCGCCTCAGCCTGGATCTTGCTGCCATACACCACTCGCTGTGCATTCTGGTCCAGCACGGTGGTGGCAGCGACGACGCGAGCGTCGTCTTGGACCTTGTGCGCCTTGAACAGGTCGGTCATCATCGACAGCCACGCAGCCACGTCCGTCTTGCCATGGATGAATGGCGGCAGGGTGATTGGCAGAGAGCCAAAGGCCTGCGTGCTCGGCTCAGCAGCGCGCTGCGTAGAAGGACCGGGGTCACCCACTGCACCACCAGAGCGAGAAGGGTTGGTGCGACCGCTAGCAGAGTTGGCAGGCGGTTCCGCTCGTGGTGCAGGGCGATACATGGTCTCCCTTCGGAGGGCACTGAACGCCTCGCGCAGCTCGTTGATCTTTGAGGTCTGCCTCGCCAGCTGATGAACGTGCTCCCGGGCGTCGTGCTTCATGTTCTTGAGCTCAACTTCCAGGTACTTGATTTTGTTGTCCTGGTCAGAGAGATCCCTCTTGAGGTTGGTGATGAGTGACTGCTGCTGCTGGATGCGCGTATCCTGCTCAGCAGCATGGTCCTGCAGCTTAGCAATTTCAGCATGCAAAATGTCCTCTTCGCCCTCCAGCTCAATGTCATCCCCCTGAGACTCCCTTTCCTGTTCCTTGGAATTTTCAGCAGCTGCAGGGTCCTTAGCAGAGGAGTTTTCAGCAGGTTCCTTGTCAGCCATTTCCTCATCCATGTTGTTCAGATCAATCTTCTGCACACAAGCTTCCAGTTCAGCCTGGGAGTTGTTCCCTTCAACACCTCCAGCATTGGAGTTGGTAGAAGCCATTGAGAGTCAAGTCACTGTATTATAAAAATGAGTTACAGATCTACTGCAAATTGTTATCACCGCAGTGAATAACCAAGATTTTCTCCAAAGGAGAAATTTCTTCAATAGATCTTACAACCACTGCAATATGAAAAACACCTCTGTTGCAAAATATCCTTACCACCGCAGTGGATAAGGCAAGAACAATCACAAAGTGATTGTCTTCAACAGAGAATGTTAATACACACAGGTCCTTCACAGTAGCTCCAATGGTTCCACCAGCAGGGAGGGAGGGAGGGCTGAGAACTCTTGGAGAAGCTTCAAAGTCTTGAAAACTTGAGCTTGAGCTTGTAGTCTTCAAAAACTTTATAATAGAGATTACAATACAATCACAACTTCTCCAAAAAAAAAAATCCACAAAATCCTCTTATATGCCCACAAGGCGAGGATCTACTAATAGCTCTGAATACCAATGTAACGGATCTATGAAGAAAAAGGGCATTTACCCACTTAATAATAGGTTCTAATACAACCAGAGAGTAGCAGCTCCTGGAAAATGACTAAGTCTGAGAGTTGCTAGGAGATGCAGTCACAAACTGTGGAAGGTGTGTTGAGAGAAAAGCAATCCTATTTCCCAATTGATTAGTTGGGAGTAGGAAATGGAGAATGAGCCAAGAGGCTTCAGACCCCTTCCCTAGACCCCCTTGGGGTGCAACCACCTTCCCCATGGCAAGGAGGGGTGCACTCCCTTGGGCCTTGCCCATGTGGCAAAGGTTACTCAATGACATGGCACAAACAAAGGGATAAAATGCTGTGTATGTAATATGTTATCCCTACCTGTCATGTTTCAACTGGTTGCAATTCCAACGCAAGAGTTGTGTTGGACTTCGAATGTTTGTGATTGGTTGTAACTCCAACCAGCGGCGGGAAACTTCTCGACTCACTTTGTATAAAAGTGTTCTGATTGGTTGGCTTGCCAACCAGTTCGTTTCCCCGCTTTCCAACCAGTTCATTTCCGTTTTCTCTTCCCAACCCAGGTTCAATGTATCGAGACCTTGGGTTGGTGGGATTGGATATGTTACACTTACGTTCAGAGACGCTGTTCGGCTGCGTGGTGGCTTCCATTGTCGCGGACGTCGCTATCGTTGCTGCGACGCCATCGTCAGTCGCCGTCAACTTCGCATGAGCGCAAAGCGGAAGGAGAAACAGCAGAGCCACAGTTGCGGTGCACAGGAATACGAAAATTCCTCTACCCTCCATCGAGCTGGTCGATCGGTTCGGATATTTGGCAGGCAGGAAACTGATGATTGGAAGTCGAATGAGGAAAACTGAGCTGGTGGGACACCTACCATACACCTTTTTATAGACGTGAGCAACGAGGGGGTAAGCCTTTTTCTTGAATGCGCACGAATCGCGCGAGTCGAGGGCCGAGAGAGATTATCCATGTACTGTAGCTCCGGCGAGGAATTTTGGCTGTCGGACAGCCTGGCCCCTTGTCGCCCAAGCGACCGTCCGGCACTCCTGTAAATTTACGCGGATGTGTTGCGTCACATTCGCCATTTCGTCACTCGCCACTGCTCTCGCGAGTCCCGGGGATTTGCGACGACCTGAAACCTTATCCGCCTGGCAGGCGGTTCCCCACAAGTTTACGATGATGGTAACCTGATTTGCTGGCGCTTCAACACAGTGTGATTAAAATTTTCACAGCAGTTTCCGAAGACGCGTCGCCACACTAGCCCTCGAAGCGACGTCAAGTATAGCATCAACAAGTACATAGACGGTTTTGCGGTCGGCATTTGCGGTGCGTGCGGCGTTGGGTGACGTGACAATAACGATTGCATCTTTGCTGCCGCCCTAAACATTCGCGCTGCAGCGTTCCAGAGGTAGCATTGCGATTTCGACAAGACTCCAAAACATGGTTAAAGCTCAAGGCCCAAATTGCAAGCCGCGGCCATCAAGATTAGTAATCTTGATGGCCTTGGAAGTGTGTTACCCGATTCATTGACACGGAAGTTCGAGCGACCGCAACAGTTGTCCCCAATCGTCGCGATTGGCTGGCTGGATCCGTGCGAAACTCTGCAGCCCCGACCCTAACACCAGGCAGACTCCAAATACTCACCTTGACGCCAACAGCCCCGCAATTTGGGACTTTTGCAGTTCAACCACCGAGGAAAGCCAGGGGGAAGGGGCAACACACTAAGACCACTCACTCCAAGCAAGATTACTAACCAGCCCTTAGACCCCTCACTCCTATACGCCCTCCGGAATGCGTCAAGGAATGATAAATTATTCGATTAGGGCTACGACCAGGTTCACTAAAATCGCGTAGACACCCTCGACTGTGAGGAAGGTCTCAATGGTGACGTACATCGAGTCAATGTCTTCTCGGCGCCCAGCAACAGTCATAAGCCATCGTAGGTGTATACTGCTGCGGCAGGCACGACGCGATACCCAGAAAGCCTAGGGCGTGTGGGCTGGGAAAGTGCTTTGCCATTGTATACTCTCCGTGCACCACCAGACCCTTCTCATCGTCCCCCCGCTCTCATGTCGTTTGCATTCGGCTCGTCGCACACCCACGCTCGTCGCTCATCCAACCCCCGCGCTCACCTGCGATCTTAGAGAACCTGCGCTCACGGCTCGTCCGCGCTCGAAATCTCATACGCGCTCGTCGCTCATCCGCGATCGAAATCTCACTCCACGCACCTCGCTCATCCGCGCTCGTCTCTCATCCGTACTGGCCCACAATCCGCGCTCGTCTCTCATCCGCTGTCGTATTAGGTGCGGGCTCGTCTCTCACTGCATGTGCGCTCGCTGTGAATTCACGAGCGCGCTCCTAGACTGCATGTGCGCTATGCCGCCTGCATGTGCGCTATGCGACTGCATGCAAGCCATGCGACTGCATGCGCGCCATGCGACTGCATGGGGGAAGGTGCGACTGCATGTGCGCCATGCGACTGCATGTGCGTCATGCGACAAGGGAGACTGCATGTGCGCGCTCTATAACTGCATGCGCCTCCACCCCTCTTGCCTTTCCTGGATTCTCGTTGCTCTCTCACAATGTCTCTTCCTCCGCTCTCCCCTCTGCCCCTCCCTCCCCTCCCTGTGCATGAACGACATGCTCCAACGTCACAGCGCCCACGCGCCGCTCCACCCGCCGTGTCAGCGCCCACCTCGCTCACTAGGCAGCGCCGCGCGCTCTGCTGGCCGCGCGCACAGCACCGGCGAGCATGCTGCACGCGGAGCAGGTGACCGTGCAGTTCCCCCTTTGCCTATGCCTATCCGCCTTGCCCATGCCTATCCGCCTTGCCCATGCCTATCCGCCTTGCCCATGCCTATCCGCCTTGCCCATGCCTATCCGCCTTGCCCATGCCTATCCGCCTTGCCCATGCCTTTCCCCCTTGCCCATGCCTTTTCCCATTGCCCATGCCTTTCCCCCTTGCCCATGTCTTTCCCCCTTGCCCATGCCTTTCCCCCATGCCCATGCCTTTCCCCCTTGCCCATGCCTTTCCCCATTGCCCGTCCCTTTCCCCCTTGCCCATGCCTTTCCCCCTTGCCCATGCCTTTCCCCCTTGCCCATGCCTTTCCCCCTTGCCCATTCCTTTCCCCCTTGCCCATGCATATCCGCCTTGCCCATTCCTTTCCCCCTTGCCCATGCATTTCCCCCTTTGCTTTTTTTTTCCCCCTTGCCCATGCCTATCCGCCTTGCCCATGCCTATCCGCCTTGCCCATGCCATTCCTCATTTGCTCATGCCTTCCCCCCATTGCTCACCTCCTCCCCTCCCTCACCCGCCGGCAGCTACGTTGACGGAGAGCCAACGGACGATGTGCAGCGTTTCTTCAAGAGGATGCACGCCACTGCTGCTGCTGCAGAGGCAGAGGTAAGCAGCGGTGGAGAGGCTAGGTGCAGCGCGTGCGTGTTGCCCTTCATGACTGGTTCACGCTGTGCCGTTATCCTGCCACCACCCCTCTGTTCATACCTCAGTCCCCAGCCGTCCCACGGGCACCTCCTCTGCCGCCACCAGGACGACAACCCCTCGCCACTGGAGGGGCTGCGCTTTGCCGTGTTAGGGCTGGGCAATCGGCTGTACGAGCACTTCAACCTGGAACGCTATGCCCGTGTCATGCTCCACCGTGAGCTTGGCTGCCATGCCACCCAACACGCCGTGAAGTTGTTCAGCACCATGCTTTGCTGTCTCGTCCTTCAATGTCACCGCTCGCATGGCTGCTCCCCCATACATCCTCATTGCCATACGTCCGTCCACCTCCCTCTCCACGTCCGTTCCATTCCCCCTTCCTACCCGTACCACCCAGATTTCATCTTTTGCCTTCCCACCACCTCCTGTTCCAACGCTCTCTTTTCCCTGCCCATCCCCCTCACTGTGTGTGTGTGTGCGCGTGCAGACGGGCAAGATGCTTGACAATAGCCTCGCTGCTCTAGGTATGCTGCTATCCCATGCCCTCCCTGCCCTCCCTGCCTTCGCTGTACACGGGAGCCCTTGGCCCGTGTGCATGTGAGCTGGTGGGCTACGTCTCATCGGCACTGATTGGCAAAAGTTCCGACAACCAGGTGCAGGGAAGGGAAGGAGGATGACATTGTCTGCCTGATCATTGTCACTCGCGTCCCACATCCCTCCCCTCATGTCACCCCCTTCCCCTCCACCAACCCTTCCCCTCCCCATCCCTCTTCCTCCCATGCCCTCCCCTCCCGTTCAGTGTGTGAATTGTCACGCACTGCAGGCACACCGTTGCGTGTCATCCCCCCCATCCCGCCCTGCCCCATTCCGTCTTCCCCCACCAGCCTTCCCCCACCAACCTTCCCCCACCAGCCTTCCCCCACCAGCCTTCCCCAACCCGCTTTCCCCCACCTACCTTCCCCCATCCGCCTTGCCACAACTGCGTTCCCCCATCCGCTTTCCCCCATCCGCTTTCCCCCATCCGATTTCCGCCCTGCCAAGGCAAGTCCGCCCTGCCAATGGATTTCCGCCCTGCGCATGCCTTTCCGCCTGCCCATGTCCTCCCACCCCTCTACCCTCTTCCACTCATCACTCTGTTCCATCAACAACTCCCAAGTCCGTTCCCGCTCATGAGCTCTCCGCAATCATTTGTTCCATCTTGTCGAATCAAACTTGCTTTGCTTCCATCGGACCCAAGAGTTTCACATAAACTTACCCATTGACATGCTCAGTGCCACCACCCCATTCTCCCACTTTATTCTCATAACCATTATCCCCTCACCTATCTCATTCCGTGACCACACCGTACCTACTCCAAACTCACCCTGCATCTCACATCCCGTTCCCCACAAATTCGGGTTCCCAACACACCCACTCTGATATCGCCTGCTCTTGCCCACTCCCTCCCACAATACCTGATTTCTCCATTGCTATGCTGCCTTTTCACCCACTCCTGTGTACAGGCCCTGTTGACGGCATTGTTTTGGTGCATGCATTTGCCTCATAGATGCTAAATGGATCAACCTACCAAACTATTTCAAAAATGCAGCTTCCCTTAGTGAATTATACAGAAGGGAGATTATATACTAGGATGCCTAGCATTGGAGAATGGTATGCGCATGTGTAAACAAACCCTAAAACCGACAGTCTCAAAACAAACAATCAGAGTTCAAGGTCAATATCACACATGCCATGACATTTTTAGAGGACAACAATGATGTGAAGATCGCTACCGCAAAGGCAGCAGGCCACGCTCAACCATCTGAGGTTTCTGGGAGGCCCTTTAGTTCATGTTATGCCTCAACAGAATGGGGTTGTGGACCTGTTTAGAGTATGCTACGTCTTTCGGAGAAGCAACGTTCAGAGAGTGCTGACCAAAGCAGCACAGACAAGACGTCAGATGAAGGATGAAGAATAAAGTATGAGGTGAAGGCGGGGTTGGGAACTGACTTGGGACACGGGCACATCAACCTCGAAACCCGGACCTGTGACAGAGCTGTGTCAGAGACCAGAAGGCACGGGTGGGAGAGGGGTTGGGGGAGGTGGGGGGGTTGGGATGTAATTGAAGGTGTAGGTGGCATGATCTTGCAGTCGAATAGTACAAAAAGGAAGCATGACTGCTCATGGGCACTAAAAAAAAAGTGACATCCATTAGGAGTGTGGCGGACTGGTCATGTAAGACAGCAAGTGTATGACTTGAGCCGTATAGTACCCTAGGGTATGGGGCTGATTAGGAGTGCGCATACCGTATTGGAGAAGCCAGGTTGTGCGTGTTACAATCCACCTTTACGTGTGAAACCTCTGCTTGCCAATAGCGTCAGCGTAGGTTGGTTGGCAAGTCTCCTGTGGGTTGGTAACCGAAAGCAGAAATGCACAAATGGATCAAACAAGCACAAAAGGACATAAGCACAGGGTGGATGCGGTTGCTGAAGCACGAGCAGGAATTTTGGGACAAGCAATTATGTCTATAATCACGAACCCAGCAAACGGCGACGAGCTAGTGAAGTTCGTTGGCCGTATGACACCGGGGCAGGCCGGGATGTGCTGCCGTGACATCCAGGCGAGAAAGTGAGCTCATTGGTAGCCAAAGGGGTGCTGCACACCGGTTGTGCAGAAACGATACTCGGCTGTCCACTCATGGTTCGATGTCGCACCGCACGGGTGTTCTCACCTCCCCTCTGGTCTGTGACAACTTCATCCAGCATTCCCTCTATTGCCGTTTCAGTCTCCTCCACATCCTCCACCCCTTCCTTCAACCACTCCTGCATTATCTTGTCGATCCAGGACCAGTCCATAGGACCTAGGATCCTCTCTCCAGAACCCCGCTGCACTCGTGTAGCCTTTCTTGCACGGATGCGGTACGCCTTGACGAGGCGGTCCATGCAACTGTTCCAATGCAGCACTGCCAAGGCTATGCGTGCCTTCATGCTGCCCCTGAATCGCAGCCTCTTGGGCGCATACTTGCAAATCAGAGAGTGAAATGACTCATTCAGTGAACTATTCGCGCCACGGATGAATGGTTCCACTTGTGTTGGCCCTAGTCGCGTCTTGAACCACTCGCGCACAGCCAGGTGGGTTGGTGAACCAACCGCATACAGGCACTCTCCTCCTCCCATCCCTCTGAAACACAGCGTGGAGGTGTGATCCCCGCTCGTTGGCAGCGTGAATGATCACCTGCAAAGTGATCTGCCGCCAGTCCTAACTCCTCTGACACCTCCTCCTTTGTCATCGCATCCCCTTCGCGCGCCTTCACTGCACAACGCATCATAACATGCCTGAAATGCACGCTGACGCGTTGCGCAACCGAATATTCCAACCTTCTGCTTCCGCCACTCTCTCTAGCGACGTTGACATCGTTTCCAGTGCCGCGTGCCCGTTTCTTATTGCTACGTGGGTGCCACCGTCGCGTCTCATTGCAGCCATTGACGGAAACTTTGGGTTGACTTCCTGCAAATTGTCACAAATGTAGAAGAATGTGACGATATGTTATAGTGACTTGAGAGGTGGTGTGGTGATATGGTAATGGAGTGCCATACACATTGGGGGGTATGGTGATATGGTAATGGAGTGAGCAAAAACCGTAGGTGGTGGTGCAAATCGGTAATGACATCATCATAAACAGTGGGGGGGTGTAGTGATGTGGTAATGGAGTGAGCAAACACAATGGGGGGTGTGGTGAGGGGGTAATAGAGTGAGCAAAAACGTGTGGTTAGGGGGTAATAGAGTGAGCAAAAACGTGTGGTTAGGGGGTAATAGAGTGAGCAAAAACAATGGGGGGGTGTGCTGATATGATATTGGAGTGAGCAAAAATAGTGGGTAGTGTGATGAATTGGTGATGGAATGATATAAACCATTGGAGGGTGTGTGGTGGTATGGTAATGAAATGAGCATAAACAGTGGGTGGTGTGGTGATGTGGTAATGGAGTGAGAACAAACATTGGGTAGTGTTGCAAATCGGTAATGGAATGATAAAAAACAATGGGTGGTGTGGATGTGGTTGAAGAGTGAGCAAAAGCAATGGGGGGTGTAGTGATGTGGTAATGGAGTGAGCAAAAACGGTAGAGGGGTGTGGTGATGTGATAATGGAATGAGCAAAAACAGTGGGTGGTGTGATGAGTAGGCAATGGAATGATAAATAACACTGAGAGTTGTGGTGATATGGTAATGGAATGAGTATAAATAGTGGGGATACGGTGATGTGGTAATGGAGTGAGCAAAAACAGTAAGGGGGTGTGGTGATGTGGTAATGAAGTGGGTGGTGCATTGGGGATAGTATGAACGGGAACATTGGTTTATTATGATTATAAATTGTACCTGTCTGAGGGCTCGTTGCTTGATCGATTGGTTCTCCCAAGAAATCCGTATCAGCGCGAGCGCCATTGCAAGCGAGTGCGACCACCAGAGACGCTTGTGATGAGGGGCGCAACCCATGCTCTGGGTGGATGTCGTACCCCCACAGCTCCTCTACATCCCGCCAACAAACTTCTACTGACACTGGACCCTCCAGCATCTCAACCGCATCACCTCCATCTCCCGTTCCCTCATGCGCAGGCACGCCATGCTCATGTATCAGTGAGAGCATAACGGGTATGTCAACCGTTTCATTATCCTCTCCATCCTCTTCGCTCCTATGTGGCTCTGGCCCACGACCAGCCTCATGCAACCCTTTGGCGCACGTCACCTGCTGCAATTCCAGATGCATCCATTTTGCATCCGCCGGTTTCACATAACGATAAACAATACCGAGCTCACTGCAAACTGACTCGATAAACTCATCCTTTCCCGTTTTGCCCTCCGCTTTGCTTGGAGCCTTCTTAAGTAACCAAGCCTTCAACTTCTTCAAGGTGTGCATGTGAAGGTCCTCAACAGTCTCAGCATCGTCAATAGCCACCACTTTTCTGACAAGGTTCTGCAGCTCGGTTTCAAATCTTTTCACCACCGATCGTCTTTTATGCCACCAGTCAATCTGATGACGGATTCCTCTTTCTACAGCAGCACCTCGAAAGGTACTACCCTCATCGGTAACAATCCCCTCCATCTCAAACCCCTGCTCCTTGAGGAAGTCCATCCCCCTTTTGAATCCTACACTTTCGAGCCTAGGTGCGGAATCATCATCAACCTCAAGTTTTGTGGTCTCTACATGCAAGATCTTCCTACTTTCAGGATGGAGGAAGGACACGGTACACCACTCAGCCTCTCGCGCTTGTGACCATCTGCCATCAACACTGATATAACCCATGCCACCCACTCTCTTGGATAAAGTGTTACGCACGTCCCCCATCGAGTTCTGTGCTGCACGAATAATGGCATTCCACAAACCATCTTCACCCTGCAGCAAACGATAGAATGTTCCCTTGCCCGGATTCGGAAGTCCAAGATTGCGACAGACTTCCCACATCACTTGAAATCCTACCCCTGCAAGGGCGAAGGCACCGACGAACCTGGGCATGAGCTTTGACGTCCTTGGCCCGGTCTTTCTCCTTCTCCTATTTGATGTGTGCTCCTTTTTCGGACTTGACCATACTTCCCTGCTGCTTGTGCACGTGTTACAGTGCCAATAAAGTCCAAAACAAGCCCATGCTGTTTTCCACGACACGAGTGCCATACTCCCAGAACAGCCCGCTCGTGTGCAACAGATCTGTAGTGATCCCACCGTTTCGAGCAAGTGCCTCGGTTGTAGAAGGCATACCGTGTACTCAGACACATCCGTGATGCTTGGAGCAGCTGACCACCCTCGTGGGACTGTGTTTTTCCTCTTACTGGTGGTCTTGTCTTGAGTTGTCGCCCTGTTGATGGTTGGGCAAGCAAAGGTCAGAGACGCGGGTGAAAGGGTAAGGTTGGAAAGTGGTAGTAAACAAAAAAGAAAATACGGGTCGCCGGATGGTATAAGGATGGCCCCTGTTTCTACAATGCTAGCCCTTGATTCCCCTCTATGGCACCCAACTATTTCCCCATTGCTAGCCAAGGTAAACACGAAAAATACCGTGTGTAGCTCGCAAAAACTAAAACATCCAAAGTATAAATAGCACACTCCCACCTTTGATCGTGAGCCAGTGCTCCATCTTCTTCGTGGTTGGGTCCCACATGACCGTCTCCTCCCTCAGCAACTGTGCATGGCGACCCCACAGTCGGGATGGGAACAACGTCGGGTTCCACAGCTGGTAGATTTGCATCCCCTGCATGTATATCACACACGGCGGGAGTTGTAACGAAACAGGGGTTAGCATGGGCTTGTGATGTTCAAGTGCTCGTGTATTGGGTGTCCGCTTATTAGATTTGGGTGCGTGATGTTCTCTTTGCTGGATGTGTGGTTGTCGCACCTTATTAATCGTTCATCAACAATCAATATCTCACCTTGTATGCGCATCCCCTCAAACGCCTTGCCTTTCCGAGGCCCACCCCACCCATTTCCTTTAACGGGGCGTAATCTTCCGCGTTGATCTTCCTTGTAGGCAGGGAAGTCGTATACAAGCCCCTTGAGTTTACGGCCAGCCTTCCCCATTATCGTGGTCACAGCGTTCACGCCATCGTTCGCCCGCGAATCAAACTTACGCCCATATGTCTCAAGATGTAGCTCTGCCGTCGCTACCGCTTCCGCCCCATGCGCACCTGGATGGGGATACAGGAATTGAAAAGCCAACATAGATGCACAATCATGTTATAAGGTTGTACAAACCCCTGGTTGCTTAACAACACATGCAATAGCAATTACCGGCTATGTCCCACTGCCCATATACATTTACCGGCTTCTTTTGCTGCCCGCATAAGCCGTTTGCAGGCAGCAGGAGCATTCATCATAAAGTAGTAGAGAACATCTGCTGTCGTCGCAACGTTCTCTCCTCCCATCAGTGCAGACAACCCGCAGGAGGCATATGACAGATCGCATATGTTTTGATATTCCGTGCATAGGCTTGTCATGCTCCCCGCTAAGCTCGCTCGCTGGATGGTCCCCATCTTGGGCCACATCATTGGTGTGCCTGTTACAGAGGAGTGGAGCAGAAAAGGTAGGGGAGTGGGATGGACATAATACAAACAGATTCTTGGGGCGCCTCTGCGGTGAATTAGAAAGGAGGCATTGTTTACAAAAAGTGCGACAGGGGGCGAGTAGCCATCCTGTTCTAGGCAGAAAAGCTCAGTGTAGGGAAACGCAGGAAATAAAATCCCTTGGATATAGTAGAACTGGGCAGAAAAGCCCATAGCAAGGACGCCTAGGGCAGGGAAGCTATGTGTAGGAAAAGGTGGTTGGGGCAAGGCGGAAGGGGGCAATGCGGAAGGGGGCAAGGCGGAAGGTGGATGGGGGAAGGTGGATGGGGCAAGGCGGATGGGTTAAGGTGGATAGGGTAAGACGGATGGGGGAAGGCGGACGGGGGGAGGTGGATGGGGCAAGGCGGATGGGGGAGGGTGGATGGGAGAAGGTGGATGGGGGAAGGTGGATGAGGAAAGGTGGATGGGGCAAGGCGGAAGGGGGAAGGTGGATGGGGCAAGGCGAAAGGGGGCAAGGCAGATGGGGGAAGGTGAATAGGGGCAGGTGGATGGGGCAAGGCGGAAGGGGGAAGGTGGATGGGGTATGGCGGATGGAGGAAGGCGGATGGGGTAAGGAGGATGGGGCAAGGGGGTATGGGGGAAGGTGGATGGGTGGAGGCAAATGGGGGAATGTGGATGCGGCAAGGCGGATGGGGCAAGGCGGATGGGGCAAGGCGGAAGGGGGAAGGTGGATGGGGAATGGCGGATGGAGGAAGGCGGATGGGGCAAGGAGGATGGGGCAAGGGGGTATGGGGGAAGGTGGATGGGCGGAGGCAAATGGGGGAATGTGGATGCGGCAAGGCGGATGGGGCAAGGCGGATGGGGTAAGGCGGAAGGGGGCAGGTAGATGGGGGAAGGAGGATGGGGCAAGGGGGTATGGGGGAAGGTGGATGGGCGGAGGCAAATGGGGGAATGTGCATGCAGCAAGGCGGATGGGTCAAGGCGGATGGGGTGGGGGCATGTGGATGGGGGAAGGTGGATGGGGGAAGGTGGATGGGGGAAGGTGGATGGGGGAAGGTGGACGGGGGAAGGTGGACGGGGCAAGGAGAAATGGTGCAATGCGGAATGGGGCAAGGTTTTCCGGGTGAGGGTGGATGGGGGAAGGCGGAAGGGGGCAAGACGGATGGGGTAAGGCGGATGAGAGAAGGTGGCATGGGGGAATGCGGAGCAAGGCGGAATGGGGGAAGGTGGATGGGGGAAGGTGGTTGTGGGAAGGGGGATGAGGCAAGGCGGAATGGGGGAAGGTGGATGATGGAAGGTGGAATGGGGGAATGTGGAGCAACGCGGAATGGGGGAAGGTGGTTGCGGGAAGGGGGATGGGATGAGGCAAGGCGGAATGGGGGAAGGTGGATGGTGGAAGGTGGAATGGGGGAATGTGCAGCAACGCGGAATGGGGGAAGGTGGATGCGGGAAGGGGGATGGGATGAGGCAACGCGGAATGGGGGAAGGTGGATGGGGGAAGGGGGATGGGGGAAGGTGGATGGGGCAAGGTGGACGGGGGAAGGTGGATGGGGCAAGGTGGATGGGGCAAGGTGGATGGGGGAAGGTGGATGGGGGAAGGTGGATGGGGGAAGGTGGATGGGGGAAGGTGGATGGGGGAAGGTGGACGGGGGAAGGTGGACGGGGCAAGGAGAAATGGTGCAATGCGGAATGGGGCAAGGTTTTCCGGGTGAGGGTGGATGGGGGAAGGCGGAAGGGGGCAAGGCGGATGGGGTAAGGCGGATGAGAGAAGGTGGCATGGGGGAATGCGGAGCAAGCGGAATGGGGGAAGGTGGATGGGGGAAGGTGGTTGCGGGAAGGGGGATGAGGCAAGGCGGAATGGGGGAAGGTGGATGATGGAAGGTGGAATGGGGGAATGTGGTGCAACGCGGAATGGGGGAAGGTGGTTGCGGGAAGGGGGATGAGGCAAGGCGGAATGGGGGAAGGTTGATGGTGGAAGGTGGAATGGGGGAATGTGCAGCAACGCGGAATGGGGGAAGGTGGATGCGGGAAGGGGGATGGGATGAGGCAAGGCGGAATGGGGGAAGGTGGATGCGGGAAGGGGGATGGGATGAGGCAAGGCGGAATGGGGGGAAGGTGGATGGGGGAAGGTGGATGGGGGAAGGTGGATGGGGCAAGGCGGATGGGGGAAGATGGATGGGGCCATGCGGTATGGGGGAATGTGGAGCAAGGCGGAATGAGGGAAGGTGGATGGGGGGAGGTGGAATGGGGGAATGCGGAGCAAGGCGGAATGGGGGAAGGTGGATGGGGGAAGGTGGTTGCGGGAAGGGGATGAGGCATGGCGGAATGGGGGAAGGTGAATGGGGGTAGGTGGAATGGGGGAATGCGGAGCAAGGCGGAATGGGGAAGGTGGATGGGGGAAGGTGGATGGGGGAAGGTGGTTGCGGGAAGGGGGATGAGGCATGGCGGAATGGGGGAAGGTGAATGGGGGTAGGTGGAATGGGGGAATGCGGAGCAAGGCGGAATGGGGGAAGGTGGATGGGGAAGGTGGATGGGGGAAGGTGGTTGCGGGAAGGGGGATGAGGCATGGCGGAATGGGGAAGGTGAATGGGGGTAGGTGGAATGGGGGAATGCGGAGCAAGGCGGAATGGGGGAAGGTGGATGGGGGAAGGCGGTTGCGGGAAGGGGGATGAGGCATGGCGGAATGGGGGAAGGTGGTTGCGGGAAAGGCGATGAGGCATGGCGGAATGTGGGAAGGTGGATCGGGGAAGGTGGTTGTGGGAAGGGGGATGTGGCATGGCGGCATGGGGGAAGGTGCATGTAGAGGTGTGAGATTCGCGAATGTGGTTATCATTGTTCCTCAAACTGTGCATACACAATACCATTGCGGTATGCGCGACTGCAGGTGCATGCTTCACTGGCATACTATGTACTTGAGTGGTGGTAAATGCTCCTATACGGACCTGCCGGAGGAGTTTTTACGACGCCGACGAGCCATCGGTGCTGCAGCTTATGGTGGAAACCCTGAATACACTCTGCCGCTGCGTATACAAATGTGGTCCGCCCGCTCCACCCCTCTTGCCTTCCTACAGCGATTGATAAAAGTTAGGGCAACGCGTCCTTAGTGATGCGTAATGGCGCTGCGTGGAGTTCCTAACCAGCGCGTCGGTAAACGCGGGAGATTCAGCTGAGGGGCGCACGAGTGTGCTGCGCCATGTACTACGTGGAACGCTATGATAGTTGCATGGAAATTGTGGGTATTGCACCCTATCCGCATTAGCTACCGTTGTCAAGCCCGAGTCTAATTACGTACGTTGTCCACTAAGCTTCCTAGTTGTTATAGGCGCTTGTTTTTTATCGGCGAGTTCTATGGAGCTAGATAATAGGCTATTTTACGCTCTCTCCTTTGTAGCAGGTGGGTGTGGGAGTGGTGTGTCGAATTGGTTTGACCAAAATGCGCACCCAGGGGTGTGTCCCCACGGTGGTAGTTGGTACGCCAAGATTGAGCTGCTGTTTTCGACCACCAGCTGTTTCTTCAATTTGATTGGCTATCGTTTCCCTTGGCGGAAAAGGCTTTCGCCACCAGCGAAATCGTCAAATTCGCTCATGCAGTACCCCACTTCCGACACACTTCCCGTTGGGATTCTCTCGCCAGGCTGACCCCCCCCCATCAAGATTACTATTTTTGTGCAATTTGGGCCTTGAGCTTTAACATAAACAAACAGGAATTCAGGATTCATACTCTTGAACTACCTTGATTCAGAATAAACAAGGCTATGTGCTGTAATTGGTTAGTGGTTCGCACATACTAACTGTACCACGTTGTTGTTGATGTGGCCTCCAGCATGTCACAAAATATGCCACCATCTCGTTGGTTGGGCTTTACCTAAGTTAACTTGCCATTTCAATGTCGTCCTGTGACAAGTGCTTCGCCTTGAAAGAGTCTGGCTGGCTGTTTCAGTCATTCTGTACCACTAGCCCACGGCGGTGATTCTAAGGGTAAGTTGAGGCGTGGATAACTGTACAGCTCACGCACCGGGTCTGTAACTTTGCTCTCACCACTGCTGCCACTACTCCCACCACCGCTGCCGTCACCATCACCACCACTGTTGCTACTACTATTCCCACCACTGCCGCTGCTGCTTACATGAGTGGTGCTCTGGTCACGGCTAAGAGCAGCATCCGGGTTGACAGAGCCTTCTGCAGGTGCATTGGGGTCTCTATCTTGCTTGTACGCCTGTCCGGCCACTGCTACACTTGCCTCTGCTACCCACGCCACCCGCGGTGCCCTCTCTGCCTCAAATGCATCCAGTGCCGCCCTATCAGGTGAGACGGGGCGAGAGAGCGGGTGAGGGATAGTCGTAAACCACCTGTCTTGCGATCTCCAGCACATGATCTATGGCCAGACTGAGCCCGAGTGAGCACCGGGAGACATTGGGGGGGATAGGATGGAAAGTGGGCATGGTTAGTTCAGGTGAGGTGACTAACCTCCCCCCCGAGAGAGCATGCGAAAGGGGCAAGGCAAGCAACGGGCAAACGAAGAGAGCAGATTGGGATGAGAAATAAGAGTAAATGAAAATGTAACCCGTGGGGGAAAGCAGGAATCCCACAGGATGGTCAGGAGCACGTTCAGCATTCCCTAGAGGAGACTCATAGCCACCTGGCCCCTAATTGAATCTGCCCTGTGAACTCGCAGCCTCTGTGCGCCAGGAGGACATGGACCTTTGATCATTGATCTTTGAGGTGCTGTGAAAATAGAGTCAGAATGCAACTCACGTGCTGCACGTGCCCTGTGAACTCGCAGCCTTGGTGCACGCGGGAGTGAGGCAGGAAGCTCTGCAGCACCTCGAGGGCGAAACCCCAGCGGAGGGAGAAACGGCCGTCAGCCGGTGCTGTGGCCTCCAGCAGCACCTCGCCTGATGGGGCGAGCTGGCACAGGCTGGATCCGTGCGCGCCTTGCGATGAGAGCTGTGGAAAAGGGGCAAGAGGGAGGGGGAGAGAGAGATGAGATGAGAGGAGAGTGATTTAACAGCAGCACCTCGCCTGATGAGGCAAGCTGGCACAGGCTGGGCTCATGCGCGTCCTGCGATGGGAACTGTGGGGAGAGAGGCAAGGAGGAACAGGGGGGTGGGGGTGGGCGGGAAGGGGGAAGATGGAAAGGAAAGTTCAGCAGCACCTCGCCCGATGGCTCGAGCTGGCATAGGCTGGGCTTGTGCGCGTCCCGCGATGGGAACTGTGGGTAAGGGGTTTGGGTGGGGTGGGGTGGGGTAGGTTTAGAGATGAGAAGGGAAGTGGCCTCCAGCAGCACCTCGCTCGCCTGATGAGGCGAGCTGGCACAGGCTGGGCTCATGCGCGTCCTGCGATGGGAACTGTGGGAGGGGGAACAGAGGGGATATGGAGGGGAAAGCGGAGGGGGAGATGAGAGGGGAAGTGGCCTCGATCAGAGTCCATAAGGGTCTCACATTATTCATACACAGCATCTTCCCACGAGTCCTATGACGGGCCTTACAGCATTAGCACTGGCGTGGCGGCGTCGACACATCCCAGTTCCGTACACCCACGATGCGCCCATTGAGACGTCTCATGAGTCGACTCACATCACATCACAACGCGCTTTTCAGTTCTGAATACTTACCCAAGATGATCCGTTTCGACTCAACCTCATTCCTTACAGCATCAGCAATGGCGGGGTCGATGCATCGCAGCGCTGCCAGCCCGTTGGGCTGAATCCCCACAATGCGCCCCACCCTCTCAGGGTCACGCCCCTCCGCCTTCTCGTACACCTGCCACGGAGGGGCACACGGAACATTAGACTTCGCAAGAAGCAACCTTCGTACGCCTGCCATGCATGGGAAACACTGGAACCTTATACCTCTTTGTGCGCCTGGCGCGGAGAGAAACAATTTTTGTGCGCCTGGCGCGTGGAGCAACGACCACGCTACATATGCGGGGAGCAACGAGCGCGCGGAACGAAGCTAAAAGGCACCAGGTCAGGGGAGACGCTCTTCGCCACCTCATTGGCTTGCCGTCAAACTCGCTGGCCAATCAAATCGCCTGGCGGTGGAAAAATCTACCTGACAGTCAGTAATACACCCACCTGAACGTCAACTCCCTGTCGGCGGAGAGCAATGGCTGCCGTCAGACCGGCAATCCCGCCGCCCACTATGATCGCATTTCTCAAGAGGGGCCTTTCCGCGAACTTTTCTTGGGACGAACCTTCCTTCGAATCCGCGTTTGTCTTTCCGGCGAAAGAAGCGGCAGCCGTGGGAATGGCGGCCGCGCAGAAACAGCAGGAACGTCTGAAATGCCGCGTAGTGCGACTGTTCTTTGGAATGCGGATATATGAAGAATAGTAGGATGAAGCATTCATGGATGGTTGCGAGGGGAAGGTCACGGGTGATCAGCAGATCTTGGGCTTATAGCGAGGACATGGCTGTAGGTCAGGTGATTATAACGAGAGGGAACTCCTAGCTGCATCATGCTTGTACTTTCGAAGCGTAGGAAAGAGGAGAAACCGTTCCCTTTCCTTCGCCTCGAGTTCTGGGAAAGAACCGAGCTTTTGCGAAAAGAGGAAAGCTGTTATGCAACGAAACGAAAGCGTCCTTGGGATGGGAGGCTGTGATGAAGGATAAAGTAGAAACTATGAGGAATGTCCAGCGCGTGTGACGCGCCGACACCACATGTACGGCATTATGATTAGCCAGTATCACGCACAACATGAAAGGCCAGCAGTGGTAGTGTGGCTGGAGTGGAGAGTGTGAGAGGGGGACGGCAAAGCCCCCAAATTCAACCCACTATTGCTTGACGCGCTGCTTGTAGTGAAGAATGGGAGGGAGACATTACAACCCCTATTTGTTACTCATTATTGGTTTACTACCATTGAATTATTCGTTTTTCAAACAACAATACGGATGATACAGCATACACATAGAGATAATAATAAACAAAAGAACTGAACATTCAATGTAGGCAAGGCCCAAGAAAAAAAGTCTGATTGTCATGCCTTGTAAGCCAAGATAAGCGTACAAAGGGCAACTTCTGGGAGATCTCATGGTATTTATTTTATATCAAGGCGCTTTGAATGACAAAACGGTACATGGACAGCAAAACTGCATTTGAAGAAGGGGACTGACGGAAACGCAACCATACTTGTTGTATCCACCAGGATCACATGATCCATGTCTTGATGACTTGTGCACTACTATCATGAACAAAATTTTGAACATGGCCCCAGCTTTGACCAGGGCAGGAGAATCTTATTGTGCTAATCCAAAGGACGACAGCCCAGAGTGGTTGAAGAAAAACAGGGAAGTTTTCCGCCTTGTAAATCGAATCCACTACTCGTCTTGCATCGCAAGCTCCAGAGCATAATCATCGCGCTCAATAGGACCTCGTGCAAAGTACTTGCCAAACTGCTGCCAGTACACTTCATCCTCGTCCTGTGTCTCCACCTCAAGGTCAGAAAGGGGGATCCCACACACAGCAGAGCGTAACCCTTCTCCTTGAGCTCTTGCGAAATACCGAGCGCACGTGGTTGAACCAGCTCGCCTGAAATCACCCGGACAGCGCAGGCTGTGCAGCAGCCGTGACGGCATGCAAAAGGCAGCTTGATGCCTTCCTCCTCTGCTGTTTGAAGAATGTATTGGTCCTGCATCATGAAGAAAGATATCAGAGGGACCAACGATAGTGAGGCAGTTCATAAAGTGAGAGAAAAGGTGAAATATGAGAGTCAAGCAGCACAGGCACCTTACTAGTAGGTTGTTCAGAGGCTTGAAGCACTCCACCCGTGCGTAAAGCATCAGGGTCGATTCCGCTGTGACCCCAAGAAACAGCTTAACGGATACATGTCTAAAGCCACGAAACGCGTGATCTGGCTGGCCATCCTTGATGTTCAGTTAACCGAGATTGATACGGATACACAGATAAGCTTATCTTATCGTTGCCTTTGACCACTGACAACCCGGAATGTGAAAGTGCATGTTTACCCGCGTGTGCTAGCAATGGGATGAAGGTTCTTGCTAGTTCGCTCTATGTCTCCAGTTTGCAACATTCAGCGGATGGCGCAAGCAGTGCCCTGCCCTGTTTTCCATCTATCCATCCTCGTATCCTTCTACGCGTCATCGAAACTTACCTGAGGCACGTCGACCGTGTACGTGACCCCTCGTTCCCGGTCGTGCACCGTCACCGTGTGGACCGGTACCTCCTCGTACTCTCCGTCAATCATTCCCTCCAGCTCGTCCAGTTCCGACGTAAACGTGTCGATCGCCGTCAGCTCCGAGGCGCGCAGCAGCGTCGACAACGGTCTTCTGCCGGCTGCCGTCTGTCTCCTCGAGGGGAATGCGCCGGTGTGAGCGACTACGGCGGTGAGCGAGCGAGATAGGGGAGCGGTAATGGGAGCTGTTGCAGGGAGTTTCAAGAGTGCTCCCTGCATGGATGAGGACAGTAGGCCGGCCATTTCTAGAAGACCGCACAGTTGACGAAACTCCGGAACAGAGAGAAAGGAATATATATCTGGGCACGTGAAGGATGGCACACGAAAATATGAAGACCAGTTCGCGAGAAGATCTAATATTCTAGGAAATTCGTTCTGCCAAGAAAGAGTATGGGAGGGCAGAAGAATAAGGGTTGTTCTGAAGCGGTGAAAACACGGTTCAAGACGTTGTAGAACGGTGGTTGGATGAAGGGACTTTAGACGGAGGGGTGTGACGAGGGCATTTTCGAAAAGTACTGGCCAATCGGGTCTCGAGAATATGGAAGAATCCATCGCCAGGTCTGCCCGAGGCGAATTTGTTTTGAATGCGCTGGACGGTATAACATCTCCTTGGCGACCGGGATTGCGCCACGTGGAGGGTTACGTCAGGATACTTCCAACGCTGTGCCAACTGACCCGACATTTAGATAACACCGGTAATAGAGAACAGCACATGAGAAAAGCATTAGTAACAGAAACATACTGCTACCAATCACATGACTACTAATTATACATGTTAACTTCAGCTCATGTGTTGCAACTTTCCTACTTCCCCATCCCTGTACCAGTCCAAAAGGGAGTCCCTCCCTCCCGTTTTCCCAACCCGTCTAGCCAAGGCAAACATCACAGCGCTGAACGCATCATGCTGCGCCAACAATCTTGTCACCTGCATCTGAGCCCCTTCGGGCAGAAAATCCACCGGATTGAACTGCGGAGCTGACCAGATGAACAGCGGCCATAGCTGCCGCAGGTGCTTTTGTTTTAGCTCGATGTCTTCTGGCGGGATTGCCTGCAGGCGCTCGTGCAGCTGGGGGATGTCACGAATATTAAGACGATACGAGACGAGACTCCAGTCCACTCCGTCTCCTTCGAAGGGAAGCAGCACATCCGGCTGTTGGGATGGAAGGGTTATTGGCCAACCAACACGCACACATGCACAGAAACAACAGAAAAGAGGAAGAAAAAGATGGCCTTATTCCACTCACACACGCAGGACTGACGCCTGAGATCCACCTGAATGACAGAACATGTGCTGAATGGCAATAGAGCCCCACCTGAATGACAACAGAGACCCACCTGAATGACAACAGAGACCCACCTGAATGACAACAGCGACCCACCTGAACGACACCATAGACCCACCTACACAACACCAGAGCCTCACCTGAATGACGACTGGCACACATCCTGCAATCACAGCCATTGCCAGTGACGCATGCCAGCCATGGCCTGCGGTGGCGAGGCAGAAGACGCTGTGCTCCATGCCGCCATACGCCAGCTCCTCACCCCCCTCCGGTACCACCTCCACCTTAAAGCCCGTCTCACTGTCCCGCCCTGCGTACAGCTCAAACACCCGCTGCCGCACGCCAAAGCTGAACGGCGGCTCCCCCTGCTGCTTGGTGCCTCCCTGCTGCTTCTTGTCTCCCTGTTGCTGCTCTCCTTGCTCCTGCTGATGCGTCTCCTCGTCCCACCCGCTGCTGCCATCGCTCACATTCAACCCTCTCACAAACAGCAGGTACTGCCGCTCCCTCCCTCCCTGCCCTGCCCACCACTCCCCTCCTGCTGCACTTGCCCCTCCTGCTCCTGCTCCTCCTGCTGCCCCTGCTGCTGCATCCCTCCCTCCCCATCCGCACCTCCCTCCCTCACCAGCCCAGGCAGCCCACCAGCCTCCCTCACCATACTCGCGTTCTGCAGGAACCTCAGATGCGCCGAGGGCGGAATCACTATATCCTGCCCGGGCCGGAAGCACGGGCCGCCCTCTGCCGTGCCGAGCATGTTCCGAGTGTACCCCCAGGGAGTGAGGGTGATTGCGGACGCTAGCCGCGGGTCCTCGAGCCCGTAGAGCTGCAGGGCGCACTTGCCGTACTCCTCACTTACCAGGAAAATGTGGTCTGCCCCGCCCTTGGCGTCCCAGAAGGGACCAAGTGAGCGGATGACGGAGATAGTTTCTGATATGAGACGTTGCTTGCCGCTGTCTCGGTTGCTGGGAAGGGAGGCAGGAGCAGGAGCAGGAGCAGTAGCAGGAGCAGGAGCAGGTGCAGGAGCAGGAGCAGGAGCAGGAGCAGGAGCAGGAGCAGGAGCAGGAGCAGGTGCAGGAGCAGGGGGAGGGGCAAGGGGGAGGGGCAGGGGACGGGAGGGGCAGGGGGGAAGGGAAAGGGAAGGTTGGATTAGCGCTGCAGGGTCCTCCAGCCCGTGAAGCTGCAGGTGCACTTGCCGTACTCCTCGCTGACCAGGAAGATGTGGTCTGCCCCGCCCATGTCGTCCCAGAAGGGGTCATCTTAGCGCGGGTCGATGGTGCAGTGGCAGCTGGCGAGCAGGCAGAGTGCTTTCTATAGTACACACCACATCACATGCAGCACCCACCAGCACCCACCAGCACCCAGCAGCACCCAGCACACGGTGCCTACCGGATGAGGAGAGGCACGTAAAAGAAGTCAGCTTCACGCGGGTCGATGGTGTGGTGGCGACTGGCGAGCTGGCGCTCCCAGAACCAGAGGACACCTAGAGCCAGACATCACACTCAGCGCCTAGAGCCAGACATCACACTCAGCGCCTAGAGCCAGACATCACACTCAGCGCCTAGAGCCAGACATCACACTCAGCGCCTAGAGCCAGACATCACACTCAGCGCCTAGAGCCAGACATCGCACTCAGCGCCTAGAGCCAGACATCACACTCAGCGCCTAGAGCCAGACATCACACTCAGCGCCTAGAGCCAGACATCACACTCAGCGCCTAGAGCCAGACATCACACTCAGCGCCTAGAGCCAGACATCACACTCAGCGCCTAGAGCCAGACATCACACTCAGCGCCTAGAGCCAGACATCACACTCAGCGCCTAGAGCCAGACATCACAATCAGCGCCTAGAGCCAGACATCACACTCAGAGCCTAGAGCCAGACATCACACTCAGCGCCTAGAGCCAGACATCACACTCAGCGCCTAGAGCCAGACATCACACTCAGCGCCTAGAGCCAGACATCACACTCAGCGCCAGAGCTAGTGCACCCACCACATCGCACCTATCGGATCAAGAGAGGGACGCAAAGGAAGTCAGCTTCCCGCGGGTTGATGGTGCAGTGGCGACTAGCTAGCAGCCTCTTCCACAACCAGAGGGCCTCTACCGGTACACACCACCTATCAGCACCTAGAGCCACCTAGCAGCACCTAGAGCCACCTAGCAGCACCTAGAGCCACCTAGCAGCACCTAGAGCCACCTAGCAGCACATACCGAATCAGCAGAGGCACGTAAAAGAAGTCAGCTTCGCGCGGGTCGATGGTGCGGTGGCGGCTGGCAAGCAGCCTCTCCCAGAACCAGAGGGCCTCCGGGTGGTCGATGTACGGCGAGTGCTGCATCTGCCATGAGTTGAACTGTGGTGGCAGCTCGTACACATACACCCTCAGGCCCCCCCCCCCTGCTGCTTTCCCTTTCCCTGCTATTTGCTGCTGCTCCTACTCCTACTGCTGCTGCTGCTGCTGCTGCTCCTGCTGCTCCTGCTTCACTTTGCTGCTGCTCTTGAGCTGGTTGTGGCTGTGGGCTGAGGGAAACTGGTTCCTGGGTTTCCGCAGCCGCTGCTGCTGCTGCTGCCGGTGTTGCTGCGAACGTGTCAGTCTCTGGTATGTCGGCCCAGGGAAAGGGTGTCCCGGGGAGCCTCCTGATTGGTGGGTGGGAAGACGGAGGATGGGGAAAGATGAGTGAGTGATGGTGAGGAAAGTTTATAACTTGCCTGTTGTAACTGAAGCCTGTTTTTGAGCCGACAAAAAAACAGGAGAGGTTCCTTCTTTTGCCTCGTTGTAACAAGAGTGAGCAGACGGCCACAAAAGCACACACACACACAAGATGCAATCCCTTGAAATCTCCTCCCACCCCTCCTGGCCACCTCAGACGCAGCTCCTCGTTGTAGTAGAGCGAGCAGTCGGCAAAGAAATCCACATGGCACGACAGGCAGACAGGAACGACTCGCACATATAGAAGCTGCAGCCAACTCTCTTTTTCTCCCTCCCACCCCTCCCACATCTCCCACCCCTCCCACATCTCCCACCCCTCCCACATCTCCCACCCCTCCTACCTTAGCCGCAGCTCCTCATTGTAGTAGAGTGAGCAGTCGGCACCAAAGAAGCCCGCCTGGCACTGACACACAGCACCGACTGGCACACTCACAAGCTGCAGTAACCAACTCTCCTCCCACTCCACCCTCCCTGCTCACCTCAGACGCAGCTCCTCATTGTAGTAGAGCGAGCAGTCGGCACCAAAGAAGCCCGCCTGGCACTGGCACAAACAGCCTGCACAAGGATGCAACCAACTCTCTTCCCACCCCTCCCACCTTAGCCGCAATTCCTCGTTGTAGTAGAGCGAGCAGTCGGCACCAAAGAAGCCGGCCTGGCACTGACACACGCCGCCCTCGCAGTCGCCGCGCTGCGAGCAGTCATTGAGACACGCCACTGAGAAGCTCTCATCCTCACATGCACTGCCGTCGTGGTACCAGGGGCACCTGGGAGGATGTGGAGGGGTGTGACGAGGTGTGGAGGGATGTAAAAGGCACTGGAGGGATGTAGAGGGACGTGGAGGGGTGTAACTGGGTGACTGTGGCCCACATGTGCAAGTGAGTTGAGATATGCCACTGGTATAAAGGAAGTGACTTTTAAGGAAGCGGGTGTGACTTCTTCAGTGGGTGTAGGCGCATCATAAGCGTCCCTCCTGCCCGCTCTGCCCCCTAAACCCCTATCAACGTGTACTCAAAGTAGGTAGCTTCGCATAGGCCGCCACCCGGCAGTAGTTGGGGCAGTTGTTGAGCGGCGGGCTATGCGAAGCTAGCCACGGGAAGGGGTGCGGCGGGAGGGGCGTTGGGAGGGTGGCCCACGAGTCCAAGTGAGTTCAAAGCTTGCAAACAGTACCTCTCGTCCCCATACGAGCCTGCAAGTGATCCCGCCCGTCTTCCCCTAACCTCCCCCCTTGCCCCTACCATACCTGCACTCCCAGTAGGTGGCATCGCATAGCCCACGGCCCGAGCAGTAGTTTGGACAGTTGTTGAGAGGCACAAGCCATGGGAAGGGGTGTGGTGGGAGGGGGGTGGATGGGAACAGCAGTGGAGACGCCGTGACCGCTGCTGCAGCTACTGCAGCAGCTGCTGCCTGTGATGGCTTTGATGACGCGCCATTGCTGCTGCTGCTGCTGCCCGCTGTGGGTGTCGGTGGGTGTGCTTATACTGAAGGGTTCTCGTGGGCCGATTTCAGTGCCGTTGCCATCTGTCTGCAAGCGCAGCGGCATGCGCGTTATGATGGCTCCTATTGTGAGCTCCTTCCAAAAGGTGCCTGGGGCAGAGAGAGAGAGAGAGAGAGAGAGAGAGAGAGAGAGAGAGAGAGAGAGAGAGAGAGAGAGAGAGAGAGAGAGAGAGAGAGAGAGAGAGAGAGAGAGAGAGAGAGAGAGAGAGAGAGAGAGAGCGGAGGAGAAGAGAGAGAGAGAGAGAGAGAGAGGAGAGAAGAGAGAGAGAGAGAAGAGAGAGAGAGAGAGAGAGAGAGAGAACAAGGGAGGGAGAGGGAGGGAGGGAGGGAGGGAGGGAGGGAGGGAGGAGGGAGGGGGGAGGGAGGGAGGGAGGGAGGAGAGAGGGAGGGAGGGAGGGAGGGAGGGAGGGAGGGAGGGAGAGAGAGAGGGAGGGAGGGAGGGAGGGGGAACGAGAAACGGTTAAGGGTTGTGGAAAGTGGAGGATCGAGGAGTCTGCAGGTGCAGCGGCATGTGCGTTATGATGGCTCCTACTGAGCGCTCCTTCCATAAGGTGCCTGACGAGGCGAAGAGGAGGGTCGAATAGAGAGGACGAGTCGTTAGAGGAAAGGAAACGGGCGAGTCATTAGAGGAAAGGAAACGGGCGAGTCATTAGAGGAAAGGAAACGGGCGAGTCGTTAGAGGAAAGGAAACGGGCGAGTCATTAGAGGAAAGGAAACGGGCGAGTCATTAGAGGAAAGGAAACGGGCGAGTCATTAGAGGAAAGGAAACGGGCGAGTCATTAGAGGAAAGGAAACGGGCGAGTCATTAGAGGAAAGGAAACGGGCGAGTCATTAGAGGAAAGGAAACGGGCGAGTCATTAGATGAAAGGAAACGGGCGAGTCATTAGAGGAAAGGAAACGGGCGAGTCATTAGAGGAAAGGAAACGGGCGAGTCATTAGAGGAAAGGAAACGGGCGAGTCATTAGAGGAAAGGAAACGGGCGAGTCATTAGAGGAAAGGAAACGGGCGAGTCATTAGAGGAAAGGAAATGGGCGAGTCATTAGAGGAAAGGAAACGGGCGAGTCATTAGAGGAAAGGAAACGGGCGAGTCGTTAGAGGAAAGGAAACGGGCGAGTCATTAGAGGAAAGGAAACGGGCGAGTCATTAGAGGAAAGGAAACGGGCGAGTCATTAGAGGAAAGGAAACGGGCGAGTCATTAGAGGAAAGGAAACGGGCGAGTCATTAGAGGAAAGGAAACGGGCGAGTCATTAGAGGAAAGGAAACGGGCGAGTCGTTAGAGGAAAGGAAACGGGCGAGTCATTAGAGGAAAGGAAACGGGCGAGTCATTAGAGGAAAGAGATTCTTCTGCGCAGGAAGCGGGATAATGAGGGGAGCAGAAGAAGCGTGTAGGACAGGACAGGCATCTGGATCTGAAGCGGTACCATCAATACCATAAATCAAAGCATGTATTGCTTCTCATGCACCACCATCACCATCACCATCACCATCATCATCACCATCACCATCACCATCACCATCAACACCACCCACACATACCGTTATTGGGGAAGCAGTACTCGTCGCGGGGCAGGAAGAAGCGCTCGCACTCGAGCGCACAGTCACAGGACGACGGCAGGAAGCACGGCATCTCCACTCCCCACGCGTACCGGCATGAGGGTAACCCCAACTCCGTGCAATCCACCCCCGTGTACCCGGGTAAACAGTCGCATCTACCCGCCTCCTCGTTGCAGGAGCCATGGCGGGAGCAGGCGGGGCGGGCAGCGCGAGGGGAGGAAGGATAGACCGTCGGGGGGAGGGGGGATGACGGAGAATGGGGAGTGGAAGCGCTTGGGCCATTTGGGAAGGGGCGCGAGGAGGAGGAAGAGGGTGAAGAGGATAAGAGCGAAGAGAAGCTTCGGGAGGGAGATGGAACGCGGGGAGCAGGAGAAGGGGAGGGGGAAGGGAAGGCGGAAGGGGAGGGGGGAGGGGGAGGAGTGAGAGGGACGGGAGGGGAAGGAGGAGAGGGAAGCGGGGTGGAAGGAGGCTCGAGGGGAGGAGGTGAAGGGCCAGAGTAA